AGGGAGGGGGGCCCTGGGGGTGGGGGGTCCTAAGGATGCTATAGTGTCAGGAAAACGAGTTTGTTTTCCTGACACTATAGTGATCCTTTAAGGACACACGACGGAAATATTCCGTCATGATTCCCTTTTATTCCAGAAGATGTGTCCTTAAAGGGTTAAATCAGGTTATGTCCTGTTTTATCAATTCTAAAATTGTCTTTTTTAACTAAACAGTAATTTCAAAAAATATAGCCACGCTCTGACTGTAGCTAATTGGCTTTAGTCACATGCTATCTTGCCATTACTTCTGCCCTTCCTTTTTGTATTTATTGTTTAGTGATTAAAGCACTTTTTACCTTTCTCGGTTATCTCCACCAGAAACCAGCCCTTATTTCTATATTGAATGAAAATAAAGATATATATATATATATTAGAGAACTTTTTTGCAGTATCTCATTATAAATATACACCGTGACCTACCATCGCATGCTGACTGGTGAGAGAAAGAATTATTTTTTTTTTTAAACGCTCTAAACTGGAGTTAAATCCGCTTGTTTAATACATTATAGAGATAATATGTAAAAAATGCCTAAGCAAGGTCATTAAGCAGAGTTAAAATAGTAGGTATTTAGGGTGTTAGACACCTCCAGCTGCTATGGGAACAGTGTGACTGCCCTAGTGCCCTATGTTTACTCCAAAGAGAATTTACTCACCTACTTCTTCCATAGTCCAGTTTACGCTAGTAAACTAAATACTACATTAATGATTTCCTGAAGATCCTTTCGGACTCTATGGCTGTGTGACCAGGAACCAATGGCTAAACACATTTGTATTTTACAAGTGTACAAAAGGTTGGTTATTTTTGTCACTTGATAAGTTAATGAGCTTGAAAGCTTGGCTAACGGAGCACCTGTTAGAGGGTTTTTCACTAGAGTGAGAATTCAAAGTAAATTTAAGTTTAAGGTTAAAACAGCCGAACTGGAAACATTCTCTAAGTCACCCATACTTTCCATTCAGCTACTTTGGTCTTCTTATAACTTTAAGACCAGAGTAGCTAGAGTGCCGGCTAATGGGCCCGCACTAATGAGACAGGGACTGGGAACCATCCCAGGGAACAACACAGATCCCCAAAATTGAGACTGGATCCCAGACTGTTGGGAGGCATGCTGGCCATTCCAGACCATTTGAAAACATGAAATGTACTGTTTAGTCACAGCAGTTCTGTGGAGTTCTTTAGTCGGTCAATTTATCTATCTATATCGTTATCTACTGGTTCCTTAATGCACATAAATAGAGCAATCACTGCTTCTATGCACTAGGAATATGTAAGGATTGGGTGCAGCATGACATGTGCCCAGAGACGTGAAACGCGTTGATCTCGTGGTACTGTCACGAAAAGAGCCTTTTACTACTGTATATTGATGGTTTTCCTGGCCAGAATAATAAAAGATGTTGTACTTTTTCCTAACACGCAGTAGTAAAATGATCTTTGGAATTACAATTTTCTCCTTGATATTGAACATGGATGGACTGTTTCCTGGCAAACCATGGTGGAGGTTGCAAACTTTTATCTGAATAAGAGAACACCATAATGGTGATTGTGTTGGTTGCCATATGAATAATTTGAAGCAGCAAGATATGTGGGACTTTTTTTTTGGCATGCTATTCATTTAAGAATTATGTTCAGCATGTACATGCTAAACAAGCCCTACGTCACCCCACCGCTGGAGCTGCGTGCGTGGATAATTGGCTGCTCATTGTCTGATAGCTGCCGCAATATGACTGCTCTCTGCCAATTGAGCAGTTCCATCGATGAAATATGATGAGAATTATGTGTGAGAGCTGACATACTTGTTCCATAAACCCCTGTTGGACAGGACTTTATGAGATAAAAGCCCACTGTAATAGAAGGTCCCTCTTGGAATTGGCATTTGCATATGTTTACATAGATTTGCAATGATGGTAATGCAGACACAATGCTATATTTTTATTGTCTACATTCCTCTTATTTCCCCTGCTTTTTATTTATATTTTACAGTGTTGTGTGGTTGTCTGTATAATTCCCCATATGATTATGTTTTATGTATTATATTGACTGTGTCGCCATAAATCTAATGTAATGTTGATAGAGGCTAGTCCTGGGTAGAAATAAGGTCATGTGCGGTAGTTCAATTAGGGACTGTGTCTCCTGCCTGGTCGTTTCGGAGATTCCAGTAGCAGAGTTTTAAGACCCGCATTCTGGTTGCACTGTTTCCTGGTACTGAGGTAAAGATTTGGCTGGAGAGCCAAAATAGTCCTTGTAAAGCTGATGGCAAAAGTGAGGCCTGTGAAAAAGTGCCTTTGCAAAAGCAGTATTTGGAGGCAGCACAAGTATTGATAACAAGGGTTGGTACATGCCTGGAAGGAGGAGGACGGGCACAGGGGTTGGTCAATGCTCCCTGGTAGTGAAGGAGAAAGGACGGGCCACCTAGTGGGACAGGACTGTGTCTCAAGTCGGAGAATTCACCCCTACTCCTGTTACATCCACCATCGATCAGACTGAGAAGGTCCTGATTGGTGAGGACCTTTCCTGGTCTAGGAGATGTCTGCCTGTCAATACTGATGGCAGAAGCACCATTTACTTTGAGGGTAACTTTTATTTTATTTATCTGCATATTTTGAAGCATTGTAATTATCATGAATTGAAAAACATCAGACTCGCTTACAAAATAATTGTGACATTTTAAGACAGAGGAATTTTAATGTTGATAGATAGGAGGACTTGTATTCTAAAATCATTTGTTCTAATCGATCTCCTCTTTGTGTCTTTTTGACCGCAATATGTGCTGCTTCTAAGGGACTAGAGAGAGAAGAATGATCAATTGTTATGATGTCATGGTCATAATTTGGTCATACTGGTCATAAATTACTCATTATTTATTTTTATTATTTATAAAACGCCAACAAATTCTGCAGCATTGTGCTCATAAAATACCTTAGAATGTATTGGCTATTTGATTTACATGATGTGATGTTTCTATATGGTCCCTGGTAAATAGAGGGGAATTTAATTTGACTGTAGCTAAATATCTTTTTTTTCTTATAGCAGTCACACTTGGCGAATGTTCACCTCATGACATTTTCAATCTGTGTGCTCAGTAACGGAGCTGAACTTGTAGCATTCTAAGCCGGTAACTATTATCTAAATGTTATCTCGTAGCATGTGCAGAGCAGGTGATAAAATAGATGGAGCAATCTCACAATGAAACAGCATTTACCCTCGGAAAGTTACAAGCGTATATATATAAAAACTAAACAAAAGAAAAACGTATGCTTTTTACATCGATAAACTTTGACTTTAAAGAGTAAACTTTATATTGAAACTTGTAAACGTTCAGGTCATCGAGAAGCCAGAGTTTATCTAATTTTGCTTTGATTCTACTACTGATCTAAAGCAAATTGACCCAGCCGTCTGGGGCACTTCCAGTAGATGAAGAAACACTTGACCTCACCCTGTTTGCCCCGTTAGCATTTTCAGTTGAACATTGACAGGAAAATGTATTTGATCCCTCTATATATTTGTAAGGATTAGCATGATCCTAATTTACTGTCAAGATACAATAAGACTCAACATGCAGAACTTAAAAACAAATTGTCAATCAGAACGACTTCTGGTCCTTAGGCTAGCTGGGTTTAATGAAATAACAAGGTGAAACACACTTGTGGAGAAAAATTGAGAGCAACAATTCAAGATGTAGAGCAACCGAGATTAGGAAAGCCTCCTGGGTGGAAATAAAGTAATGTATTTAAGTAAATATTAAAAGATACAGGGGGTTAAGAGGCAAACAGGCATAGAGAGTTGAAGGCTCACTTTGGAGGATGGCAAAACGCGTATTTGCATCTTTTTGTCTGTATAGTCAATAAACTTTGCAGGAAAAGTCGATTACAAGCAAAGTCAAAACCAGAAATCACTAGAACATTAAGAACACACACAATGGCTATAGCAGGACAACGACCCCTTCAAGAACTCAGTTTAAGGAAGGGCAATCAACGTCAAAGCAGTGATCCCAGAAAGTACTAATTATGCCATTGGGCACGTCCTTTGGAAATGGCACAGGGCCTGTGGCTTATAAAAGGACATGGAGGGGTAGTATCCAACATCACAATTTCAGCAGGAATTACATTTAGCATCCAGATGAAGCTACCATGACACTAACAAAGCATACTGTAAACTCTAATAGTGACGATAAGGTCAGGAAAACAAAGACAGAAACATGTGCTACCGGACTTTGAGTGGCTAGGCTTAAAGGGATGCCTTCAAGGAAGCAAAGAGGCAGAATAGTTACAGAACAACAGAAAATCATATCAATGTTAGCTATAGTTGGAGTCCTAGGAATACATCTATCCAGATAACCAGCCAGGGTCAAGGTTCCTAAAATACAGAACATCTGAATACAAGTCAGGGTGAGAAAACCAGAGAACAATGTAGTCAAACAAAGTTAAATAGCAAAATAACAGGAAAGGGTAACGATCCCTCAGTGGTTCACGTTTAAATAATCAGTCAAATGACATTTACATGGCATCACATTATCTGTATCCAAAGAGTGAGAGCGCTTGTGACCGGTCACACAGCCAAATTGTGGTGAGTTTCCATCCTAATGCAATGTATTGGTTAGAGAAATTGCAGATCGTACTTAACACTGTTAACAATGAAGGAGGATATGACATCAGACAAATTCTCACATCTGATCATCTGAGATATTTCAGCTGGCATCATTTTATTTTCCAAAACATTTTTATCAGTGGAATCAGATATAGCATGCATAATATAGTATCATAGATTCCATTTTTCATGTGACTATAATTTTTCACTATGCATTATGTATGACCACTGTGGGACTGACATTACGACCAGAGGTTCACTGGGAATCCAGCTCATCCACTTGCAATCTCCTTTCCATGAAGCCAGTGAACATGTTAATAAATGGACAGGGTTCCTGAGCTCCCATTGTGTCATTCCATTTCATCAAAGGGACACCACTCTTTGAGATCGAGATATCGACACATGGACACGTTGCCCAGGGTTAGGGATGTCCAAGGCTCCCATTATAGAATAAAGATGATGGAAGACACTGGTTCAGTTTCCCATCCCATGATTAGATAAATCTAATACTAACCTGGGGTGATCAGCTCCGACAGGTGTAAACCACGTTTATTGCTCCCACCACTAAGGGACCTTTTTGATGACCTCAAGCACTAGCTAGCTAACCTCACATGATAGCGATCTGAACCCAACAGAGGCACAGACCACACATCTTCACCCAGTAGTGAGGGGGCACAGGACCAGTCAGGGATACATTTGGAGCTCCCTACCAGTCTGTGGATTTGCACTATGCCTCCACAGAGCCTACACTGCATGGCAGACAAATGTCTGATTTGAGTTACTGTAGCATTTGCCCTGTTTGCAAATAAAGGTAATTTGTGTGCTATGTGTGAATTTGAGTTGAAATAATACATATAGTCAGTTATACTGTAGAAAGCCATGCGAGAATCAGGCCTGTCATGTCTTCCTTGAAGAAAACTAACAGCTATTAGTTTGTGGTATCATTCTATAATATTTTATATTTTTTTTCCACAGACTGCTAAACTATACTTACTACACTAGAAATCCTGATAATATTGTGATATGCAGAGTACTCCCATTGAAATAGATTGAAGGACCAAGATTGCCTAACAAATCTTAGCTATTTCTTTGTCTCTACAGTAGTGTTGCACTTTCTACCCAATCGGCGCAGCATCCTGCTGTTCTTGTCCATACTGCACATATCGTGCGGGATCTTGAGGCCTTCAATGCTCTTCTGGGCAGCATGTTGGATGCTGCCTGCTCATGGCACATGTCAATTTATAAATAAAAAAAAGCATTATGTAACTTCTGGTCCACAATTGTCAGTATCATTCCTGCAACCTAATTCTGGCACTTTTTCTGGAACTTTTTAGGGTCGCAGGGATGATGTGGACCAATCATAGCTTTTTCAGGCATATTGCCTTTGTCTTACTGTGAGTACCTCCTGGTTCCCAATAAGCACATATTATTATTCGCTCTGACTTTCGGCATTTCACAGATTCTATCTTGACTTTGTGTACCTGTGTGATATTCACCTGGCTAGTTTACTCATTCTCCTATAACTCAGTTATCCTGACCGTGGCATGTTATACCGTATACGATTACAGTCTAGGGTCCAGTAATACATTATATTCTATGTTCTTGTACTCTGACCTGCGTTCTGCAGCAGAGGGGACTCCAGAGGTAAGTATCTGTTATTCGATATTATTTATTTATATGCATATGTCAAACTATGCTTAAACAATGTCATGTTGTGATATTCGTATTGGGATGTTTTTAAGTTGAAAAAGAAAATCATTTGGTTCACATGCCAATCTGCCTTAACAAGCTTTCCCTGCGTCTGTTTTCCCTTTGCAAACATTTTGTGCTGCAGGTTATTTAAGGGATGTTTTATATTTGAAAACGAGAGAAATCTCAATGTATCTTTCCTGGTAAAATATTTTATAAATAAATATTTATATGCTTTGTGAAAATATGCTACACCTTTTCTGTTAATTGTTAAAAACCCATTTATTTGTCACAAATAGGATTAACCTCCTAACGCTGTAATCGTTAAACTTGGTTCTCCATTGCAGGTCTACCTTTTTTTTGCAATTGTCTGAAAGGCTATGAATTTACACCCAATAGTCTTTGACCATGTTGTGCCTTCTGGTGTTTTGATCTGGCATGCTTCTGGTGACAACAGAGAAATGTCCCCAAAAAGTGCAAAGATACCAGGTGCTTAAATACACTTGCACTAAGGCCAATGCAGGTCATTTCTGAAAAGCAAACTGCTGCTTTGAATCCCTACTTACAGTCATTACAACCTAATCCTTATCTCATACTAACCAAAGTGAAGAATGGTTGCACTCGTTTTTTTTTTGTGGAAATTGACAGATATAAGAAGGTGCTTTGTACCAGTGGGCTGTCGATTGTTATAATATAACTGAATAATTAGATAGAAGGTCCAGGCAATCAGATGTTCTAGACTTTAATTAGAACATCAGGGCAACGTTTCGGGCCAGCTGTAGCCTTTGTCAAGACATGTCACATTGTGCTTCATGTTCCAATTAAAACCTGCACTTTTGTAGACCTTCTCAGTGCCCGGAATGTTCTGATAATAACTTGGACTGGGTTTTCAGTAGCACTTTCCATGTGGGAGCCATTCTAGCTGTGGATTGCTTTCATCATGAAATGTATTTCTTCGTGCTGTCTGAATAAACATTACTGCTTTATCTCAAAAAGTGGGTATAGAGTACCATGGCGCTGTCCTTCCATTCAGCATCACATTGTTTTTAATGTTTTAATGCTAAACAAGAGTCCCCAGCAGCACATCCCATCTGTGCTACATGGACTATTGATGAAGCATTGGGTGGCTGTGATTGGCTAAGAGTGTTAGCTGACTACATTCATCCTATCACAATGCCATTGCAGGTATTAATCCGTATGGCTAGGAGGAAGTGTGTAATCTCAGCCTTAGGGATACCTACTGTGGGTGGGGCTGTGGGGGGCCAAGGACCCTCATTCATTATCAAACTGCTCGGAAATGGTGTAAAACAGAATGGAGGGACAATGCCTGGGGACTCCATGCACTAAGACCAATTCAATGAGATGAAATTGCAATACTGCCTACAGTGAACTTACGTTATTTCTTTTACTGAGAACTGGATCTCTCTGCTGTTTTAACTCCAACAAGCAGTGTAGCTTTTATATAAAGATGTACAGTCGCTATTCAGATTAAGTTCACCATCACATATAAATAGAATGCATAAAGATAGTGAACAGCTGCTCATTATCTATTGGTTGCCGATGGATGATTAGAGAATAAGTGATCAATACAATTAGCCTAATGGTTAATCTATAGAGTGTTGGATCTCTACAGGAATATATTTTACAGTTTATAGCTCGCAATAAAGAGTCTGGTTTATACAGATGTAATAGAGCAAGCGTGCAGCAAACAGGGCTGGTGATTTGGAATCTACTATAGGGCTATTCTTCCCACACTGGTATTTAATTCAGACACAATTATATCAGCATTCACTAAATGCAGGAGAAATCTGTGATCTAACCTGTACACTATGCAGCCCTGAAGTATATATATATTATCATTATATAAACGTTGGAACCCAATATGGCACCGAGTGCATGTCTTTTACATATCTTCTGCCTTACTGATTTACTCTCCGGTGGGGTAACCAAAGACCAGGTATACCACAAGCACATCAGTATGCCTGCTCAAACTGCGTAAACTGCACTCGGGGCAATCAGTCCACGGGCAGAGCAATTTTCAAGCATTTTGAGCATGTGTGGCCATAAGTGGGGCTAGCCATAATGATGAACGGTCAGTTTGGCATTGAATTCACATCAGGCTGGCATGCCCCCTTTTAAGACTGAAACACCCCATTTTAGGGCACAACTCTAACATCTGTATGTCCATACAGATGTCAGGTACACACGGTTTCAATATTCACACGTAGCACTGCTAAATATGTTGGTGAAAAAATATTAACACAGATAATTTGTGCCCCACCTGTTCTCATCTCAAACAGCTCTAGTCTACTGGGTTTTTAACTACACCTCTCGTATTGCTGAACCATAAACTGTCCGCCTGGCTGAGCACAGTGAGAGTTGCAGTCCATAAATTCGAGGGATTTCGTTGAGGTACCCTGCTCTCTGTTTTCTTATAATGTAAAGAACTTTCAATCTCAGATATTTATTTGTCCATTTTTTTTCCAAGATAAATATTGTAATTATTATATTATTTTAATTAATATTTACGACTTTATATATATATAACTTTTTATATCTGTTTCCTCCCCATTCTATATACCACAATTAATCACATCAGCACTTTTTCTCCTCGGTTTTTAATGAACATTTTATGCCTGCAGAAAGCCGTCCTGTCACCCTTGACGCAGCCTGTTTTTTTTGGATCATCTGCCCTCTGACCTCTCTCTTCCTTAGTGCAACTCACTACTAGCAGTAAACAACAGTAATTCCACACACACCATCAACATGTCTTGTGACAACATCTCATCTTCGGCTCCACACCCCCCCACGACGATAGGTTGTTGTCGAACATCAGAAGGAGTGGGCCTTAGCATTGCCTGTGACTGGTTGAAAGCTGCCAACACCTACAGAGCAAAGTTAAATTAAATGTAAAGAAGGGAAAAGAACAAGCACAGCGGATGTGTCATGATTACAGTAACGCTGACATTGTAAAATTCTCCCCGGTGCAGTGTCCGTTCAATGGTTTTACTAAGTATTACATAAATTAATATTTATGGAACTAAAGCACAGAATTACGTAATGTTGCGTTCTAACAGGCTGCTAGATGGCTTGCTCTAGACAGAACCATTAGCGGATTTATTTTTAATTGGAGCATTGTCTGTATGGTAATTTGAGCGGTAATGGGAATTCTGGTATATTTTGGCATCACCCATTTCATACACAGTGCCGAATGCCATATATTCACTTACCTGACATGTTACTTAATATATTTGAATTCGTTTACAAGGCAATATTTCATACAAATATTCATACAGGCACCCATTAAGTATTAAAGGAACTCTGTCACCATTGGGGTTCTTTGTAAAATTGTAAAAGACGTTTGGCGAGACGTGCCTCCTTGGTGTGCAGCTGCAGGGAGAGACGCTAATTATTATTTTATAATTTATATAGCGCCAGCAAATTCCGTAGCGCTGTACAATAGGTGATATACTCTCTCCCTCGCTGGCGCTGCCAATCTTTCTTCTAAGATCCACCTTCAACTCCCAGCACTTCATCCACCAGGAGTCTTGTCACCGCTGAACACCTGTACTTGTGTCTCTTTGATCCCACGACACAGCAGTATCCTCCGCAGAACTACTCGTACTGTGCACAGGGAGATAACTTTATTTCTTAAAGACTGTATCCCTATAAAAAAACTCAGTATAAACACAGCGCTTGCCCCAGCTTGGGATAAATGAGAAAGGTAGTAGATACCTGGCGCAGCCTTCCAGTAAAGGTGGAAAATGAGAACATTGTTGAATAAATGCATTAGAGATGCATGGAGTGATCATGGTGAATGAAGAATAAACTGCTGGGTCTACCAGTGTTTTTAAAATGGCTTAATCTAATCCAGTACTTGCTGTATAAACAGGAGAACGTTCTTTGACATGTCTAATGGCTTAGGTGTTCATTCACTGTTGATTAATGTTACCTATTTATCAGTTTCACAATAACTGCAGATATGATCTGCAAGGTCCAGTGTTTCACAAAGCTGTTAACTTTCACATCAAAAAACATTCAGAGAAATTTGGTTATTTAATGCATTTTCATGACAATGGTGGTGTAGGTAGCAGGGGACTACGCTACGTCAGCCGGCTGCATCTTATATAGTTACACCAGCCAGCTTCCTGGGGTCTATTCACTAAATAGGGAATGGTAATGGGTTACAAACTATATAGCAAATGATGGTGAGTTCAAAAAAGCTATTGCAAAACGTAGGCCAAAATAGCTGAATTGGAGACATTCTTTAACTCACTTATAGTCACAGCTTGATTACTTTAGCCTGAATTCACTGTCTGGTAAATAAATCTGCACTTTATAGTTTGTTCGTTTGTTATTTAATTGCAATTTGCTATAACATAATAGCCAGTACAGTTTGTTAGCGATAGTAATTTGGAAACGTCAGCACATGTCGATGAGTTTCACTTCTCCTGTGCAGACAGGCTATGTGCCGTAAAAGTACATGGTTTCAATCATGTCCAACTGGATCTTGCTGGTTCTCACACAAAGCAGTTTGTTTAAAAAGAGGCCTTGTTTTCTGTTCCTCTTTGGCTTTATTTTCTCATGAAATACACAGGCAAACAGTGCATTATTTAAAACTTCTAAGACCTGTGCCTCTTCTGAAAAGTTTGCCTGATAGTTTATACTTTGTACAACCGATGACCTCTACTGACCTCTACTGTCTAGTCAAGGAACTGGTTACGCCTTAAGAACTAAAAGCACTTAATTGTGTGACCGTATACAGCAATCAGTACAAATCATTGGTTTCCTTGTTTGTTTTGAGACATCAAAACCAATTTAGATATAAATCTATAATAATTTAAATAAAACCAAAACCCAGAACACAGCAATGACCTTAAAGGGCGAATTATTCCCAAACATGATTTTATTACATCTTATTATTTTTTAAATAACATTACATAGAACACAGAGGCAGTCAACAACTTAAATAGCTTGCCCTTCAAAGGGTCATTTTGTGCCAATACAGAGAATATGTAAATCATTTAAAGGAACATACAAGCACCATTACCACTACAGCCAACTGTAGTAATTATGGTGACGGGGTGCACTAGCTAAGCCACTGAGTATGCCTCTCGAGACAGTACAGCTAACGGAAGGTCTTTATAGGTGCTTCTGGCTCCAGGGGTCAGAGGGTTTGACGATTTACCCTTAGACATTCCTGGCACTCTACTACTACAGCTGTCTTATGGCTATGGTGTTTGAAATATCCCTTTAAGTACACTAGTTTAAACTCCTTGAATTTGTCTTGACGTAGTGTCAGTGTCCACTTAACCCTGCAATGTAAAACATTGCTGTTATCGAGAAACTGCAATATTTCCATTGCAGGATTAAGACTACCTCTAGTGGCTGTCTACCAGACAGCTACTAAAGGCGCTTCCTGCTGTTTCAGCGTTTTTAAAATCCCCATAGAAAGCAATGAGTCAATGTTTTCCCATAGGGACTCCCCCTCTCGATGATGTTGGATGAGGCGGAGATGGAGCCAGTGCTGAGGGACTGGTTTAAGGTAAGTGAAAAAGTTATTTTGTTTTTTTAACCTTTTCATAGCTTGCAAAAGCTGCAAACAAGAAAAATTCAGGTTTTGCTAAATTTGTTTAAATATGATTTTAAAATGCATGTCATTTGGGGTATACCTACTAAACAGTGATTTGCATGTATTTTGTATTTGGGCAGCGACGTGTCCCTTTAATATTGTTTGATATATGCGACATGAAAATGTATGCGTGCATCTAGAATTGTCTATGACTACACAAAGGTGATTATTCACTAAACTCTAATTTATAGGAGTATATATATTTAACCTTAATGCAGAATTTGGGAAATAAAAATTGATTTGGAATAATTCCCTAATACTGTTATAGTTACAACTTAGCTTTTTTGCCCAAATCATTGCAATTCAGTTTTCAATATAATTTAGTATTTAGTGAATTAGGTTGAATGATTACTATTTACTAAGGTTCAAATTTGCCCAACTCCTGTGTAGTAGCATTTCACATATTGAAATGATCACTTTTGAAATTCATTAAGTGACCTCCATTATGGGGAAATATTTTGTCAGCTACAAACTTCTGCAAAATCTACAGATTGTCAGGGAACTCAGCCAAAGAGCGCTCACCCAATATTTCATCTACAGAGCCACGTTCTATGAAATGTAAGTGGGCACTATTGAATACGTGTCACAAAGTATTATCTAAGCATGTTGATATTGGGGAATCATAAAGGGAAAGAAATGGTTGGTCTATGTAAAGGACATGTCAGGGTGAGCAGAATATGACAGCAAGTGGTTAGGGACCAAATGATGAGAGTGCAAAGATGCAGGGCTTGCCCTATTAGTGGGATGGGTGGATATGGACCAAAACTAAACACTCCACCTTAGTCCATTAAGTTCTATCCCACATCCTTCGTTCTGCTTTCATTTAAAAGACCAATCCTTAACTTGAATGAGTGTCTAGTTTTAGGCTGAGAATTCCATATCTTTAATGTTCATAATGTGAATATCCCTTTCTACTGCGGTAAACTCTCCTTTCCCCGAGTCTCAGTAGAGAAGTTTTTATCCTTTTTACAATTCTGTTAATACTTTTTATAAAACAACCTATATTATCTATTTGAGAATAGGATAACAAATTCAACCTATTACCCCGATACACTATTCCTTTTTTTCATGCAAACCAAACTTAAAGCATTAAAAGAAAACATCAAGGAATTTCACCTGGAAAAGCAGGGACATTGTTTATGGGGAACAACGATATAGGCCTATATTTAGGCATCATTTATAGAGTTCTATAGCATATAAAAACAAATATCTCCCATCTCTGAAGCCAAACTTTATCGACAGTCATATTACGCATGATTTCCACAGGAATTAGAATCGAGTAAATTAGTCTGGAAAGGCTGAGGGCCCTTTGTTGCAGATGTGGAACCCAATGACCTGTGTGAAGCACATCTCCCAATGTCAAATTAAATTTATAAATTTGCTCCATTCGAGTCTGTGGTACATGGCAGATAGCAAATAGAGATACACACATGGAGGACTAAGGGGTCTGTTTTGTAAGGTCGGGTTACAGGGCTGTATTAAGAGCCCATTGGGTCTGAGGCTGACTATTATCATGGGCTTAACTACAGAATCTAACTGACCGAAAATACTAAAACAGTTATACCTCCCAAGCATGTATCTGTTGGAGGTGCTGGAGGTAAACTCGCAGGATAGAGCTTTAAAAAAAAAACCAAATACCCTATGCTAATATCTCACTTTCATCTCTCATCCATACACCATAACAGCAGTGTCCAGTGAAGAAGAACATGTATGCAGTCTGGGACAGAGGGACCGTAGCAGCCTGTGTACAAAGTCAGCTTTAACTTAACTAATGTCATTGTCAGCCAGTCCACACAAATTTTGTTCCCCTACTTCCCCCTCAAGTTCCCATACTTAATTCCCTCTGCACAAAGTAAGTGCATGTGAAGAGGAGGAAAAAATGTTTATTTTATTCCATGGGTATGGGCCTGAAGCTTCAGCTCCATCAGCCCATATGTATGTTAACCATGGCATTACATCCAGTAATGGTCAAAACAGTTATGCAGTCAAGTCATATCGAGAGGTTGAGGAGGCAACAAATCAGAATAGTCCAAGAGAAAAGCCATGGGTCCAGTAGCCAAAGGTCCAATAAACGAACTGCCAAGTCAGGATATAGACCCAGGAAAGGAAAAGAGAACCAAGTGAGACAGAAGCAAAATAATGGGTCTCTAGTAACAAGGCCATAGTATAATTAAGTGTGTGTCACGGTTCTCACTGCGATATCCAGACTGCGTCACCCCAGAAGTTCCTGATGAAATATTTGAACCTGGGTATTTTGCAGTACTGGACCTGCTGTGTTGCCTCTGAGCAACTATTCAGCTCTAGTAATTGCCTGAAGTTTAATCTTGCCTTGCATCCAGCACTGGGGGCTGGACGTTTTTCTGTGGCTGCTCCAACATTCTCAAGCACACCTGAAGCTGATGGCCTCATTAGCCAGGTGTAAGACACTGCCTCTCCCTGGGGGCCGTGTCAGTTCATTGACTCTGGTTCCCATATTGCTGTTTCGTGTTCCAGTGTTTTCCTGTTGATTCCTGACCTTGGCTTGTTATTTCGTGTATCCTGACTTCTGGCAT